AGTCCCACGGTCGGGGTTGGTAGACGTACAGTATGGGGTAGGTTGACTAAAGTATAAGAAGTAAAGAAAATGTTATTAACAACTTAGTGGTTTAATACAATGGCAAAAAAGTTGTTTTATTACAAAATATTATTTATCTTTTTTTCATATTTTAATAACAAACTAAATGATTTCTTAACACAAATTATAATGATTATATGTTTATCAAATGTAAACAAAACAAAAATTGCTTTTGCAACAATACAGGTAAAATTTTTTAATATTTTAATTTTTTTAATATACTTTGAACTTTTTTTATAATATTGGTTATAATACTTTAAACTTTATATCAACAAAAACTTAGAATATTAAATCATAAATACCTATATATGTAAATTTCTTGTTTTTAATTTTTACTTAATTTTTTCTTAAGTCTGAAACACAAGTTTTACATTTGTAGAATAGCAGATTACTTTTTGCACAATTTAAATCGGTCCACATCTTGCATGAAATACACTGGATCCATTCTTCTCCAGAAACACTTTTTGAATACAGTTTAGTACATTCAACGCACATTGCATCATCTGCCTTATTAGAAGAACAATTAGTATTCTATAAAACAAGTTAGTAATTAATCATTATTCAGTATAATGAAAATTTAGTAAAAACTGATATCATTGGAGTTGGTTGTCTAGTTAGTCATATAACTCCAGACGTTATTAGCCAACCAGCCCCGAACGATCATTTTGTCTTTAATGCTCTATCTTAACCTTAAATTAATTATATATAAAAAAATTACTGCTTCAATAGTTTGTTTAATAAACACACTTTAAGATATTTCTTTAATATTTATCCTATCGTAACTATACAGCATGAGAACATAAAATCTTCAAGAAATAATATTTACTTACGCAGCTAATTTTTCGATAAACGCTGATAATTCTGAAGTAACGTGCGATTACGGCGTAGAAAACAAATGAATAGCATAGTAGACGTGACTTGTTTCTATAGAAAATTTTTCCGCGACAAAGCACATATAGGTGCAATGTTATTAACAATTAGTCTACCTACCCCTATAGGCAACTAGCCCCGGTCTCTTCTACTATCGGCGAAAATATATGGGTTGTTGCACTTTTGACCGAGTCACGTTCTCACGGTTGCAAGTAACATAACCGAATCGATTTGACTGAGTATGAGTGTATAGAGAATCGATAAATTTTAGTAAAACGTCTGTTAGCAACTGCACTATGTATATTTATTGTCTAATAAATCGTTGATTCAAACGCAGTGGCGCGTGCACATGGAAGATTCGCGTCGAATCAACAAGTATTTTTTTTTTATCGCAGAAAATTTTCGCGTGTTGTTCGCGCTTAAAGAATTGCAACTTGGGTTTACAAGTTTAAATTTTATTACTGAATAATAAATTTAATTATTGAAACTTTATTACTGAATAATATGTCGCATTTTATTAAGTTTTTTATTTTTTTCATTACTCGTATTTACGGCTGCAAAACAAACAATGTTACAGATGTTGTACAGAAATAAAAACAAATCCGCTGCTCGCTTAACGTTGCATGACGCGATCGCAATTAGATCAAATTATGGCTGATACGTTCATTGTGAGTTAGCGATATTATATAGGAGTAAGTTAATTATCCTTAGGAACGAGACAGAGTAGATTAAATAAATATATAATTGTAATTGTGTATAATAAAGTAACAGAAGACAAAATGTGAAACGCGGATAATATTATTACTTGAAGGTCATATTGTGTTGTTTCTTGCAAGGTTCTTTGCGATCTCGGCGTCTTCAACATGTATAATGTACGATGACGAGTTATTATATTTTATAGATCATTGGAGAATATAAAGTGCGATTTTATATATACAAAATAAAACAACAGTAGTTTAATTATTATGTATATCAAATATAAGTTTTATTTGTCACACGTTAATCTCAATCTGATCAATTAAGATTGATAGATAAGATATCTATCTGTTAAGATAGATATTGCGTACTTCTGAACTAAATAATACAAAGATATATACTTTTTACTACTTCTTACTATATATACGTTTTACTACAATCATCAAAAATACAATTATCAAAAATTTATGTACATAATAATTGATTGATATAGAAAAAGTCAGTCGTACATTCTATGACTGCGATAGCGTTAGAATATTAAAATAATTTTAACATTTTACAAATAAAATTGCAATTAAGTATGTGATTATATAACAGTCTGAAAATTGCAAAACAATTTTGTCAAACAACAAATAATGATAATTAAATCGCGATAGCGTTAGAATATTAAAATAATTTTAACATTTTACAATAAAATTGCAATTAAGTATGTGATTATATAACAGTCTGAAAATTGCAAAACAATCTTGTCAATAAACAAATAATGATAATTAAATCGCGTTANCGTTAGAATATTAAAATAATTNTAACATTTTACATAAAATTGCAATTAAGTATGTGATTATATAACAGTCTGAAAATTGTAAAACAATCTTGTCAATAAACAAATAATGATAAATAAATCAATATTTAGGAGATATATGCTTTTCGATCTAATCAATATGTAAAAACTACATTCTTTTTGATCCAATCAATATACGAAGATACACGAGTGAACACAGTCGGGAAGTCAGTGCGTGCACAACCTACCGACCACGATACAATTCCGACAAGTTTTCCATTAACGGTCAGTGGACCGCCCGAATCACCCTGTAAATGAAGAATAAAATGTCTCTTTAATGTTATAAAAAAAAAACCAATTTGCGCATACACAAAACGTTTAAGTCTCTCGCGTGGTACGACACAATTTGTAAAGTTACAGATAGTTTTATTTATTCATCGCTTATTTTTTAATTTCTTATTTATTTTATCATTGTTTTCATTATCACTCATATTGGGTATGTCAATTATTAATTATAATTTTGTAATTTTAATGTCACATTTTCTTTCAAGTTTTTAATTGTGCTAACTAATAGCACAATAGCATTATATCTGTATGTTGTGTTCATCTTTGTAGAAAAAAAAGTAAGGGAATTATACGAAATTTTAATCATACGTTATAACTTACGCTGCAAGCTCCTGTTCTNTCGCCCGTATTATATGCACAGATATGTGAGTCGTAAATATTGTGCAGAACTTCTTTGTATACTACTTTGCAATACTCCTGATTAGCTATAGAAATTCTAGCTTTCAGCAAATAGTGGGAAGACGGCTCGTATTCCTGTAATTTGAACGATCACAAAAGTGAATTGCAATAAATACAATAAAAATACATTTTTTTGCAAAATTAAGTAATTTTAATTACTTCTATTCTTCCGAATCCAGAAATTATCGCAATTTCTCCTGCTTCGATATATTTATTTCGTTCGGGCAGAGATGCGTATCCAATACCTGGGAGCACGGTCATAAGTGGCGTAGAAAGCTAAAAGAAGTTAAAATTTCGCGTTATTTATGAACAATAGCAATAGCATTAGAATGTGAAAAATGTTTAATCAACAAATAATTTACTATGAGTAATGCGATATCATTACGCCACGAATCGCCACTATCGTATTCCTCGTGAACAATTATCTCCTGAATAAAACGATAATATCCTGATTTAGCCAAATTTACTGTGCCAGCGACTAAATGCATGTTTTCAAGTTTTTGACTGTAATTAGAGTAGACATAAGTGACATATATTGTAACGCTGTTCTTAAAATGCAATCTATGCGCGCGCGCGCACGCATTACATTACGATAGGGTTCAAAAAATCACTTACTTTTCAACGCAGTGAGCAGCAGTGACAACGTAATAGGCATTAATGAGAGATCCGCCACACAAATTGATAGTATTATTGAGTGTAATAATTAAGGCAATCTGTAAATAAAATAATTTTTTTAATGTTTGCAGATTTTAACTAGTATTAAATATATACTAACAATTTTCGATTTGAAAAAATATGAAGTGTAGCTCTTGCAGAACGCAATCTGCGATACAAATATCTTATTTGAATAAAGAGATAAAACATTTTGTCTTTTACTTGATATGGTATTTCGCTGGGTTGTACCCTGTCGCCATTTACTATTCGTCCTCCAACTTTGTCAAAGTCATCGCCTGTTGAGAGAGATGCAATATTCAATATGTGTGTGTGGATGCATATAAGTTTAAGCTTTGTCAAAAAGTTTAACATATTTTAATATAGTTCAACAAAAATGGCATTGTACATAATTCACACATAATAACTATCAATAAGTGTCTGTATTATCATTTAGCTTTTTATATTTTGTCACTATTTATTTTAATTTTAAATATTTAATTGTTATGTACTACTGTGTATTTTTTGCTTACAAATTCTTGCAAAGAATTATTATTTGTTTCTTGTTTTCATTTGATTTATATTATTTATCGACAATATTTAGTTGATTATATTCAAATTTGACCAATTATAGATGTAGAAATAGTGTTTCGTTTTTCAAACGTGTAAAATCTTCGTAACAATTTAGAAGCTTGTGAAAGTGTACAACTAAGTAGTAAGGTCGAGCTTACATGTCGAATGTAATTGTAATTATACACGCACACACATATGTTATTTATTTATTTTTTCTTGAACATGTACATTAATACACGTGGAGATTTGAATTAAACTTTATTCAAAAATTTACATTGGATGTTTGATTTCCATCTCGAATATATAAAATATTTAATTTACGGAATGCGGGAACTCCAAGTTTGACTCCCGGCCAAGATGTTTTTTCGCAGTGAAAATGTTAAATTTCGTACGCGAGTACATTGAGTATTTCACACATATGAGATGCGAACCAAACATCCAGTAAATTTTTAAATAAAATTTAATTCAAATCTTTACATGTATTAATTTAAAAAACTTGTAGAGTGGGAACGGTCAATGTGAGCTTAGACACAGTTAGCAGTATGTATATAGTATGTATTCTTGAACTTCTCTTTATTTAAAACAGTTAACGTTTCTCGATCCTTGGGTGGGATCCTTTTCAGAACTACAAAGAATAATTAAATAAATAAATTCATTTGACACGTACAATGTGTGTCACGCACATATTAGACACAAAATATAACACGTGTTTTTTTTTCACGAGAATGAACGTTGTTTCTCGTTACAACGTTGAGAGTAACAACACGTGTTATATTTTGTGTCTAATATGTGCGTGACACACATTGTACNTGTCAAATGAATTTATTTACTTAATTATTCTTTGTAGTTCTGAAGAGGATCCCACCCAAGGATCGAGAAACGTTAACTGTTTTAAAGAAAGAGAAGTTCAAGAATACATACTATATACATACTGCTAACTGTGTCTAGGCTCACATTGTCCGTTCTCACTCTACAAGTTTTTGTTTTACAAAATTGGAGTCTTTCACGTTTTTGTATTAATTTACACGTAAAAGAAAAAAAATAAATCGTATATAATCGCACGTGTATCTTATCGACTTTAATGATTAGTTGTAAAATCTTTATAATTTCTTTTTNTATTAAAGATTATATGCTTATGTAATTCATAGTGTACATAATGTAATATGTAAACACAATTACATTTGTATCGCTGATCGATTCTACTTACACTGAGAAAAGGATGCGAGACACAGAAGAAGTAAAGCTGAATAAAACATCTTGCGAACAATAGGCACTATGTTGGGCAGAAAGCAAGTCTTTACTTATCATATGTCAGACAAAGAATAATGAGCTTTGACATCAATAAAATAATTAATTACATTTACTATCACGATTAAATTTCAAAGCGGATTAGATGATATCTGTGATTTTGAAAGTATGTTCAATATTTTTTTCATGTAAGATGCGTTGGTTAAACATAGCAGTATGTCTACCAGTATGTAAATTGTTTTTAAGAAAAAAATAAATAAAATAAGTCGTTAAATTTACATATTATCTGTTTTGAATTTTTATGTTAAAAGTAACAAACACAAATTGTCTTTATTTCACGTTTACTTACGTTTACTTCAGCAAAGTAACGAAGGAGAAAGAAATAAATTAAGCACTTTTCTGTCTGTGAAGAAAACCGAATACGTATGACGATCGACAGTTTCAAAACTCCTCGAAGTCGACTCGGTTTTCGAACCACGTGGTAGCTACGATCAGAAAACACGAGCCGTTTTGACAACATGAAAAACAGCCAAGCTAATCGCGCAAAGTCAAAACTGGCAAACAAGTTTTAAATCAACGGATTCCTTACATTAACGTATTCTATAATAAATGATAATGTGCAATTATTGCATATCGCGACAAGACGCAGTTTCGAGGTAAAACTAACAATAAGAGGAACTGCTTATTACTTTTTTTATCACGATCTGAAATACAAAATGCCAATGGAGAAATCGGTCCACACAATCAATATTACATATATATATATATATACATACACATGTACGTATACACATATGTGTAGAGTGTTTTTGACCTCTTGAGAGGATAATAACAATGAAAGGTAACTTTCAAGTGTGTTTATTAAATTCACGTTCCTTGTCGTGTGTAACGGTTAGCAATCAAATGTATAGAACAAAAGAAAATAATTAAAAATACAACATGATTAGTATAATTAGTACATGATTGTAAGTAATTAGTATGACTGTAAGTAACACGTCTAGAACTCGATTTTTTCATACTCCCGATAGCTATCCTCCGGATAAAGATAATCAAAAAAATATACTTTAGATAAAGTTCGAGAACTTGTCAAAGGTGAAGAAATTGGGCATAGATGCACGAAGTTGTCAGATTTTTCAACAATGCGTATTATATAGTGCAATCGTTTCTTAAATATAATACTTAAAAAATCTTGCAACGTGCCGATAAGACAGCGGAGACATCGTTTCTTTTACGATGAAAGTTAAACACGCTTTTTTACAACGCGGCAAGCGGTGTTTTGAATAATGTAGCGCTAACTTGGATCTTTTAAATCTTAACGCCACATCATCTTTAAACGCATCATAGAATTATACATGTTACATCCAACGCTGTAAAAAAAATTACAACGCTCGCAGCAATATTGACATTGTCGCGTTCTGATGTTGATGCCCGATATCCAGTTCTCAAAAATTCTATCGAAAAACGGCGTTTATATTGGAAAACTCGGTTTGCAGAGATTGTACAATTTCGAACGTACACATACACCACGTGATATAAACATAAAAATAACTTTAAAAATTACGCTTTATGGCGAGCGAGCGCAAATCGTACGCGATAATTCCGACGGGAATTTTACAACGCTTTGACGTAATATCATGTTTTTTCATTAAAAATATGATAAACGCGTATTCGGTGAAAAGATGATTAACCTTCTTTTTTTTTTTACGAGACCCGATACACTTGGGAAAAACCTGTCAAATGAATCACTTAATTTCAAAAATCGTCGTTGATTTCAATCTCTCCTCGTTCCATCTTGTTTCCTTACGCTCTTTTTTGCTGTGTGTTATACATAGCATATTCTGCTAGATATTTTTGATATATCTGAACTGTCGTTCGATGTGTTCAAAAATTAAAATGTAAATTTGATTATTTAACAGAATTTTAATGAGATAGTATTGAATATAGAAAAAGTTCTTTCTTTAAAAATCAAAGCAAATTATGTGAGGCTTGTGAAGCTCGATTCTCAAGGAGAGACAAAAGTTTGCCAAGTTCTTGGCATTTGTACACTTCACTTCGTCGAGCAGATCTAATGTCGCTGCTGAATACGACTTGTCCTGGCAACTCTATCCTTCTTCATTCCGAAATCTTGATGGACAGCCGTGAGAACAACGTCTGGATGCCAAGGGCGTAGGAATCGATCGATTCTCTCCTCCTAAAGGAATGCAGTTTGACTTACGATGATTAAAATCACACTATTGTACGAGGACAATTACGCTGTCGTTACATTAATATTTTTTAATAGAAAAATACATACAATATCTTTTTGTAGAAAAATAAATAATGTAACAACATTTCTTCTTTATGTTGTATGATAACGTGCGATCGCGAGTTACAATGCCTCATACGTAATTTTAAATTTACTGACAATTAAAAGCAGCACAAAGTCGAAGATTAGCTAATATTTAGATAATGCACGACAATTTCGCGATCTTGTGTTGCTCGCAGTTTGACCTGAAAGTGCTGGTGGCAAAGTAGGAGAGCGATCGATCCTTGCCTTTCAAGTGAGCGATATTGAGAACCGCTGCTTTAGAACTCACCTGCGTCCGATGACCTCACATTCGGAGCTTTCATCATGAAAATAGTGAAAAATATGTCATTTATGTATTTTTTTATACAACTCTCGACTCGATTTGCGTTGATGTATCTACATAGTCATAAAACTATTTAAAATTCTCGAACTGTTCACTCTGTTTTCCCGAAAAAGAGAAGTAGAGATGAACGTCAATAAGAGAATAGAAATACGTAATTATTTGATGATTAATTGATACAGATGTACATATTATTTTTATCTGGTAGAAAAGAGACGTAATTTTGAAATATCTTGACTTTTATTTTAAAACAACACACATGAGAAGATTATTATCATGGTAGTTTTATCACATACGACAATGATACCGACATTTCATAGACAGATTATTATAAATATATATATATATATATAAAAATTTATTTTACACAGATGTCACTTACAAGGATATTACAAAACAGTCACACTTATGACGTTTACTTATTCTGTATAAATGTTACTAGCATACTGCTTCGACCTAACTAGCGCACAATCCGACTCGTAACTAGCTAAACTCTACTCAAGGGCGGTTTTTAAGTTAGAAAAAGAGTTTGAAATTTAAACAGTACTTTGTATTGTTAAAAGATGGGCCGTTGTTTATTGATGAATATATCTAGTCCCTTTCTCTTGCCAAAACGTTTAGGAGTAACAATGTTTGATGCGTTACTCTGCAGATGTATTAGTTCTAATAGTTCGAATAAGATAAAGTAAGAGCTCGGAATTCTTCTGATAATGTGTGTTCACCAGGTCATATAATAGTATTTATTGCAATAAAAAAACAGCTTTCTACAAAGTTTTGAAGATACTAGTACGTAAGATACAGTATTTTCTACAATAAAGTTGATTTTCAAAGTTATAAATTTATTGCTTTTCCAATTCTTCAATATGGCGTGTGTTGTAAAATGACATAAAACACTCGGCACAAATTACGATCAAAAGTTATGGCGCACAACGTTTATTTAAACGTTTATTTTAAAGTTTGAAGAAAAATAGGAAGAATTAGTGGCCTTCTGCCAAATCTTTCACCATTATTCGCTTAAATTGCACTTGTGTCGCACGTGCTCTTCCATTCTATTGGACGAGACGTTTTCAGGAACAAAGAAAATATTTAAATTGCTAAGATGCTACGTCTTGTAATCGTGAATGTATTAACGTGCTGATTCTTCAATTTAATACAACGATATGTACGTTACTTTTCTCGATTTTCTAGAATGTAAGCGAATTTTATTGGAGTGATAAAAATGCATGAGATTTAAATGCAAAATGAAAATTTTATATTTAATATAAATTATGACGTTGCACGCAATTCGATTTCGGACAATGCGCGATTGTCAAATGTGATTGACAAATAAATAATAAATGATTGACATATAAATAACAAATAATTAAGTTGCTATTTTTTCTTCTTATTCAATCTACGTAAGGTAACAGACGACACATGTGAAAATGAAGAAACTTCACTGTCACTCAGCAGTATCTGAAATAACAATCTCTTCAACAAGTGTTCTATTGACAGTCAATAGTTCATCTCTGCGTTGTGCTGAATAAAACATAACACATCACAAACTTTGTCAAGCATATAGTTCAAAATTGATTTTTGGTTTTATATTTTCTTCGTGATGTTACCGTTTCACTCAAATTATTTAGTTTATCATGATTGTGACTTTTATATTACTACATTGCAGCGTAATTATATATATATATATATATATGTATAGACTGGTATATAAAGAAGCATATCATCGGAATATGACTTTTGAATCAAAAAATATTTATTTACGTGAACATAATATGTTTTCTCATCATTAGCATTGTTTGACGAGATATGCCGCGGATTATTGCAGCCAGGTTGCAGATATAGTGCAGTATCGGAAGGAAGCTAAGTCGTTTGTTTTGCTTATCATAACGCGATAGAAAGAGAGCAAATGTACGTTTGCATGATGTTGCTCGACAAAAATAAGAAGAGAAAAAGAGAGAAAGGAAATGGGGAAAAAGAGCCGTTGCATCTCACTGCATTTTTATTCTCCGTTTATACGTATATGTATATTTCCATGTCGTATTCAAAATTAGCGACAATTGCAGTCAAGGCGCTATCATCGTCGATCTTCTGTCTCACGCGCGTCCTCCGTGCTTTTGAATTCATTAAACGCGTGCGAAAATTTCACTCGGAAACGTGCGTCTTTTGCGTGCATTGGTCGCTGTATGCATATACGTATAATAACACCGTGGTCCTTATCGATTACGTCGTATCAGGTGCTCCGCGCATTCTTCCGCGAGGAAGGGTAGCTGGTGTGCGCGCGCGTTCAAGTTGCCGGGGGGGGGGGGGAGAAACACGCCACCGGGCTTATTCAAATTTGCAACAAGTATCAGTTCGATATGCTTTCGAGACATGGAAGCTCTGCACGTAGATTCCATAACGTTCTTGTTACACAAAGTTAGCGAAGCTCCTCCCCACGGTGGACGAGATATG